AAGACATTGCTTTAATAGGTCTGTAGGCAGTGGATCAAGCTCACAGGACTTTGATTGCGAGGTCATGATAATGTTGCGCAACTCGTCCTGGGTTGTTGGTGAGAGCTTTGCCAATGGTTCCCCATCAAATGCAATGTCAGCAGTCATGAAAAAGATGTCAATATCAGCAGAGTGGTTCACTTCGGTTATATTTTTCCTGATTGAGCTGATTTTATTCAGAAAGTAATCACTGAACTTGCTTGCTAAGTCTTTTTCAGAATTACAGCTTGGTAGGATAATTTCACCTTTCTGTCCCATTAGGTTTTTGGTGAGTCTAAAAAGCTGTCTATTATCCTTGCCGCATTCTTTGATTCTTTCTTAATAATAAGCCTTCTTTGACTGAAAGAGTAGTGAACCAACTAGCCTACATTGCTCTCTATAATCTGTTGTTGAACGGTTTATTTGGTCCGTCGCCACTGTCTCTCTGCTTTTCTACAGTTCTGTTTTTCTACACGTAGATTTTCATTATACCACGGGACATTTGGTCTCACAGTTATCACCTTAGTTTGCAGAGGTGCGTGTTTCTCTATAAGGGCTTCTATACCAGATGTGTATGCTTCAACAAGATCATCAACCTCGCCTTCAGTAGATTGAAGGGCGGAACAAGACTGAATGTAATTGTTGAAATCAGGTATTGAAATTTCGCGGAATTTCCGGAAGCTCACTTCAAGTATGTTGTTTATATGGAGTTATATGTACAGTCAGTGTTGTTTACAGTAGACATATGCGACGATGTGTTGTTACATGGAGTAATATGCCCAGTAACTGTTGTTTACAGTAGACATATGTGACAGTGTGTTGTTTGTATGGAGTTATATGTATAGTAACTGTTGTTTACAGTAGACATATGTGACAGTATGTTGTTTATATGGAGTTATAATTTATGTACAGTCAGTGTTGTTCATAGTAGACATATGTGACGATGTGTTGTTGCATGGAGTAATATGCCCAGTAACTGTTGTTTAGAGTAGACATAGATGACAGTGTGTTGACCTGTAGAGATGACCTTGGACCAGTAACAGTAACATCCTGAAGACCCCCGTAAGATGCTGTAACCATGTGTTGGTGGCTATAGCAGTGCTGAAAATCAATGTGAACAGTCTGCCAGCCTAGCTCAGTCTCTCCTCCTATAGGCTCTGCATACTCTGCATATGCATGGGAGATAAAACGCCTGATCTGTAGCACTGACAGCCCCGTTATGTGTAATACAACAGGAAGAAAGCTCCGGTAGTGCTGTAGAGTACATCACGGGTGTTGTATAACTTACTTAGAGTCAAAGTTTCATGTAACAGTTCTCACTTTACCTGTATAATTGTATGTAACAGTTCTCACTTTACCTGTATAATTGTATGTAACAGTTCTCACTTTACCAGTATAATTGTAAGTACATATGAATCATTGGGAATTGTTTTGATACACTTAACAAGTATCATACATAGTATAAATTATTGTCAAAACATTCATAACCAAAATTTTCGGTAATCAATGTATATAAACCACCAAATATGGTAGCATGCAGCCATAAGTACTATGAATATCATTGCTTGATTGTGCTTTTGGATTCCACTCTTTGATGGCATATGGCCGTTTCAATTATTGAAAAAAAAGTCCTATATTTAAGTATTTCACTTACTGTCAAAAAAAACCAATAACTTTTATGATCAAACAGAATTACAAAAATGTCAAATAAAGCCACTGAATTGCTTGCACTTGGCATTCATATTCCATATGAAAGCCATTCAAGAAAAGACATACACAGCCTTTTGTGGAATTTGGTGTTTCCAATTGGCATTCTTATTGATTATTTTATCATTCCTCAGTTAATAATAACGGTTGTAATAATAAATTCACCTACAAATCGTACTTGCCAAATATCCATATGATGCATACATACTCATATTTTTACTTTTGAAATCAGAACAACTCCCTATAGATTGCTTTTTGTTCTATTTCAATTAATTTATCCTTGCATTGGAGATGTAAAACAAAGGCTAACAAATACCCCCTACTTCCACATAAAAAAATGGAAACATGGAGATAACAACCAAAATAATTGTTGAAATGAAAAACAAATGGCATCTGCACAACCATGCAGTGAACCAAAATTCATAAATATTGGTCAAGATGGTAGGTAGTAGTACTTTGAACAAACTTTAATGGATATCAGCAAAGAGACAAATTAAACCCCCAACACAATGTTGAATAATTGGTTTGGTTTGGTTTTATTTTGTTTAACGTCCTATTAAGAGCTAAGGTCATTTAAGGACGTGCCTCCATGTATGTTGTGCATGCGTGTATGTTGTGCAGGAGACCAGGTATGTTGGCATACTAGTCTCCCTGTGATAGCACAGATCTGATGCCAACTTTATAGTGCTATCTCACTGAAATACCATGCCGAAGGCATCACATTATACTGACAACGGGTGAACGAGTTGTTGCCATTACCCTCAATGCCGAACGTTAAGCAGGGAATAATAACTACAATTTTAAAGGACTTTGGTATGTCCCTGCCTGGGGGCAGAACCCATTAAATTGCCTTCCTCATCTTGGCAAATGCTCAACATTAAGGCCAGAAGCGAGGTATTGCCAAGCAAGGCGCTAGGAAATAAAAGGTAGTTAGAAGTAGAAATAAAGATCCCAAATGTTGCAATGGGTGCAGCAGATTTATTTTGATCATTTTTGTGTTCCCAAGTGGAGGGCACAAAAGCAAATCCCAATTCTGCATGGGGTTCCTACATTATTCGCCTCTTACGATACACTCTGTGGGTAACAGCTGGTGTATTCTTTTCTCGATCCCCGACATGCAGTGTTGATGTTAAATAAAAAGAGTTTGTAAGTGTACAACTTCTTCTAAGGTACTGATGATGCATGCTAAATTTCTTAAAATTGATCTAGAAAGTAAGCAGTGTGTCAGACTAATTGTTGTCTACATATGGATACCTCGATTCCATCATAACCCCTTCCCTCAACCAACTTCTTTGCAAGGGTTTCATTACAGAATTTAACTTTAACTTGTCAATGAGATCATTGCTTATTCATACCTTTTATGACACACTCAGATTTTGTATATATCTAAGGCTATTTGTGAAATATAATGGTTTCTTCTTAACCGATTTGTAATAATGAAAAAATATGATAAATGCTGCAAACATTTGTAACATCCATTCCTATAAATTCAATTCTAGAACAATTCTTATCTTTAGAAAATCAATGCATGCTTTGACGTGATCCTTTAGTTATGCAATCAAAGAAGACGTGTATATATATAGCCATAATCAATATTTATACACTAGGTCATCCAAATATAAATCTCCTTATATTATCAATAACAAACTTGGCAATTAATACACTTTACCTTGACACAGTGTTAAGTGCTGCTGTGGGCTAGCTTACCTCCACTAGATGCAGACAAATTATCTCATTATGAACCTTTTTTACAGTTTACACTTGATGAGGATGAGAGGGACTGTGGGAGCATTTTTTACAGTTTACACTTGATGAGGATGAGAGGGACTGTGGGAGAGTGTGAGAGTGGCTACAGGGATATAAACCCCACAAAGCTACAGGTCACAGACACACTTGCTTGGATCCGATCAGTCCTGTGTATCCCTCCATTACAACGCTGTGGAAACTCATCCCAGTCTGATCCTGTCAAATTTATAAAGCTCATTCAACCCCACGTCATTGCTGCCATTTTAACAAGCTCAAGTGACTTGTATGGACATACAATAGCTGGGTGTCATTGTCCTGCCCAGTCATAAGTCAGTGTAAGGAAGCAAGTAGCCTGGTCAATCGCCGTATCAAGTGGGTAGATTTGAATATTTGGGAATGTCTGCTTACCTGAATGGAATTTCATTTGAAAATAAGTAGGCAATCCCAAACAAGATTAGTAAAGATACAACAACATTTCCCATACCTTCATTAATTATAGATCGAATCGTTTCCAACCTTGACAAGTTAATGATAAACTTTGAGGTTGGTCCCCTACAATATTTATCAGGTTTCTGGTCATGATGGCCTTGGAACATAGATTAATTGGCTAAATAGCATCGTCAAAGGGATGTGTAACTGGAGCTTTTGTTTCACTTCCTTGAGTGGAAAGTTTGGTTCATATGATCATTGATGATGCTATATAATCTCTAGTAAACAATGGATCTCAGAAGGATCTTGGCATCTACCATTATACCATCTTCACTGGTTCTTTGCAAGAATAATCATTTCTCTTATATGTTGGCCATCTTGGTTTTCTGATTAGTCCCAAAATTCAATGTGCATAACTACGGACCATGGTGGACCTACATGTGAAATTTGAGAGAAAGATCCATCAAGTTTTCTCTGAGAAATATATAGTGCTAACAAACTTTAACTCTTGAAAATTCAGATGGCCATCTGTTGGCAATCTTGGTTTTCCAATCAGCCCCAAAGTTCAATATACAAAACTAGTAGGGTTGAGAAAGATACACCCAGCACTATCTGGCCCTAACAAACTTTACCTCTCAAAATTCAAGATGGCTGCCTCTTGGCCATCTTGGTTCGCAGATCAGTCTGATAAGCGTCACTAAGGACAGACAGATGGATGGATGATATATCACAGACACAGGGTGATTTAAACAGCCCAACATTATCAGATGGTGGACTAAAAATATGTATTACCTTAAAGTTTTAGTTCTCTTGGGGCCTGTTTGTTTATGCGGAGCAACCGGTTTGTCTGTTTTTAAATGTAGCATTTTCGGGTTTAAATCCTGGCAGATCTGCAAAAGTTTATGCAGGCCTTGCAAGGCTTTGTCAAAGCTCGCCTGAAAACAGCATCAGATTACTAGGTTTGAACTTATTTTGTAAAGGAACAACTCTGGTCAAACCGGTTCAAACGTTTGGATCGTGATAAACAAAAGCGGCGTTAGTGACTCGATTTATATCCAATTGTAAAAAAGAAAGGCATGACCTAGAAAGTTTAAGTTTATTGTGAATGATGCCGAGATATTAGTTCACTTGGTGATGTTGTATGTGTTATGGTGTAATGTTTATGGAATTAGGTTCTGCCATGTCGAGTAGTGTCAAAGTGTCTGTTTATATGTTAGTTGTACAGCTGTACTAGGTAACACCTCAAGCATGGCAGGTAACAGCTGCTGAAGCCATGATATATGTTAGCATGTCACACTTACGCAGTCCAAAGTACACATCATTACACAAATTGAACTATCTCTGTGCAGATGTGTATGGTATTTTGTGCCCACCTTTCTACCAACGCCTTATTCTTGGCAGCATTATGCAGGAAACAGATAATAAATTAGGAGTAAAAATGTGTAAAGTTTCTACCGTCTCCGGCCTGTTAATGAGTTTTGTTCACAGCTGATACATTACCTTGGTCTTCCACGTCCACATTCTTCATTATCCACGCTATCAGATCCACACCTAAGGAAATAGAGAAATAAAGTTTAGAAAACAAGATGATCATAAATCTGTTTTCTGATATGTGTATACCTCTGGAAGACGTCAGCCTTGGTATGAGGCTTCAGACAAACACAAAAAACAGGAAAAAGATAGATGAACAGGCTACAAACGTATCTTAAGGATGTACCGAAATCAAAAATTCAGTAATTAGAAAGTAACTTTCTATATCATAGACCAGAAAACACGAATCTTTATACATCTTGAAATTGACAACATATCAGTATTGAGGTAGTAGAGAACTGTACTTTTAAATATGAAATAGAGTAATAATACCATCTGATTTCTACATAAAATAGAAATGTAACAGATATTTGGCAAGGCTACAGCTAAAGACAAGGACATTTATATCTTATTTCCTAACTTTGGTAATTTTACTAATTTTGAAACTAATGGTTTTCTGATCAGTCCCAAATTCAATATGCATAAATAAGGACCATGGGTAGCCTACATATGAAAATTGATAAAGATCTCTCCAGCACTCTCTGAAAAATAGCACTAAAAAACTTAAACTCTCAAAATTGAAGGTGGCCATTGGTCAGAGTTCTTACTTTTCCAATCAGTCCCAGGACAGAATGACGCACTAAATGATGGATGGACCATGGACAAAGGGTGATTTGAATAGCATCTGATGATGCTATTTTAATAGGTAAGTTAAAGATGGCCATCTGTCGGCCATCTGATATTACTTTTCCAATCATTCCCAGGACGGACAGCTATTTGGCAACTTTGCCATGAATATTCATTGCAATTTTACAAGTCATGTATCTGTTAATTCTCTATCTAGGACTAACTAGGCTAATAATTTTACAAAGTAAGGTCAGTAGGTGCATAGTAAAACACATTTACTACAAAAACACTCTGTGTGAATTCTCGCTTATATCAAGGTCATGTACATGTGTCATAAACATCATAGTTATCACACATTTTTCAAATAACAAACTAGGTCCTACTAAGGTCTCCATGGGTAAGCCATACCCATATGTTACTTAACTGCCAACTGTGATGTATGGTTTGAATGACTAGACATATGCCGAAACCAGCTCAATTGCAAAATTCAAAGTTCACAACTAAGGAACAAGGAGATCCATCCAGCTCTTCTTGTCTTGAGAAATAATGAAAACAATTTTAACTGTCAAAATCCAAGATGGTCACCGAGCAATTATCTTGTTTTTCTTCTAATCATTCTTACAATTTAACAGGAATAACTAAGGACCAAGAGAAACCTACTAGTAAAATTTGAGAAAGATCTCCATTCAGTTCTCTGTGAAAAAAAGCAAACTTTTAACTGTCAAAATCCGAGAGACTCCCTGGTTTCAATCTTGTTTCTTCGGATCAGTCTCACAATGAAACATGTACAACTAAGGACCAGGAGGAACCAACAAAGGAAATTTGAGAAAGATCAGTCCAGCATTTCTTGAGAAATAGTGATAAAAGTATGGCTTTAAGCATGAAATGACAGAAACAAGACAGACAATGGATGAAAGATGATTTGTACAGCCCACCATCTGATGATGGTTGGCTGAAAATATTAATGCATAAACACAAAATGACAGTCATCTTGTCTATATTCCAATAACGGATAAGGAGATAGACTCCTACCAATATTTAGTTATTACAATGTATTTCCTAATCCTATCACACAATGATGTACCATTCTCAGGATGCTGGCTCCAACATTGCCAAGAATAAATCAATTTACATGCCACCATGTCGTGTTTGTCTGTTGATGGTGATCAGGTGTACATGTGAATGCGTCGTTTCTGTTGAGATTGTTGTCTGCGCTAATACTGGCCATTACATGTCTGAAGGTAAATGTAAAATGTCTATACATACTGACCACTTTATATACATAAATGTACCAACCGTTACGCCTAGATAAATATGCTGCCTGCTATAAATGTACTTTCGTTAACATCTGAGCATGTATATGGTCTAATATGTCGACAGACTACGCAGGACCAATAATTATAGAGAGAGGCTTGTAATGGCATGTGTGCAGCTAAATCTGGTCCATACAAATAGTTCCACCCATAACAGTCTTGGGGCTAGTATCTTGAACAAGAACAGGCAACTTACCATACTTAGTCCTTTATTGTCGAGATTCTAACACTTTTATCCTGTATAAAATCCTTGAATTTTCCAGTTCAATTTATGGTGTTTACTAATACAAATATAGGTAGCAAGCCTTTTAGGGAGTTATAACATTTTGAATTTATTCCCTGGGTAATGTTGTTGGAACATTTTGACCAAACATCATGACCAGCAGCACAGTGGATATGTATGTCCCTGCTTTATATTGAAGAGGTCTTGAGATTGAATCCATGTGACGGAGATGTTTATATTTCTTTGGCATAAAACTGTTTTCTATATCAAATGATAAAAGCAACTAGAAGACACCAAAAAACACTGAACAAATTGGAACTCTTCTTTGTTAGAGATACAACGAAAAATGTTGGGACTTTCTACCTTAATGCTGACATTGAGAACCATCAGCAAATTTTCCATTTTTGTTTTTCTCCCTACATTTAGCCATCCCCTTTTCATAAACAAAAGTACTATTTCGCAAAGACGTTTGTATCACATATGTCTTTCAATGCCAAAACAGATATGCTGAGAAAACCATGATCCAAGGATAGAAGTTTGAATCTTGCACAATGGAGCTACATTTCAATCACACTTATATTGTAAATATTTTATTCTTGTGCGCTTGTGTGTGGGTGATGTTCACCTATCACTATAGGCACTTTTTATATCCGGCGGATAGATCTCTGGTGAGTTTGGTGTAACAAACATGGCCGTGAACTTCCTTATGACACCAAGTGGTGTCTTGGTGTAGGAGATATAGCAAAACTTTGACAATATAACATGCACTAGATATAAGCTATTAAAATATGGAGACAATCTTTGACATTATTTACATGGACAAAACAAAGTCTTCATATTACAGCACAAGTTGAGGAGAGTTAAAAAACACAGGCTACTGAATTGTTTATCCGACAGAATGTCCTAATATACAGGAATGAGTGATGTCACTGACAGACACTCACAGTTTTCTTTCCCCAATTCCATATAGTCAGGTGAGTGAGACATGTGTTGTGCAGGAAGGTGTAAACATTTCCTGTTGTAGTATGGAGATGTGTCTGTGTTTATGCTGTGCTGTATGTGGTGCCTGCGGTGGGAATAGTATTAAACACTGCCTTCCTGTGCTAGAGTAAACATGACCAGGTGTTCCCTAACCATCTCAAACAGCATGTCTATCTGCCTAACAAATAATCCCAAATCTGACAAGGAAGCAAATCCATGGTTATTCAAGGTCAATAGGATTTGAGAAAACTAAGATATACAGCATGTCTGCCATGTCTAACTGTTTTATGGTCAGTGTAATACATGTTTTGTGAGATGCTACTTGTCAGCCAATGTGTCTGTAAGAACGCTTTCCTTGTTAATCTGCTGACAGTGTACTGACAGGTTTATGGTACTACTTTGGAATAAAGAGGTCATCAATGACAACATAAACACAATCACTGAACATGAAGCATTTTTGACTATTCAATACAATAATAAATCCAATAAGAACTCAAATAAACCCTTCTTGGATTTATAGTATTAATAATATATTCATGATGTACTCATTGCTATATTGATCAGTATATATCGATATACAGAGGGGACAGACTTATGAAGTACAGGCAGTAAAAGACAGGACAGGACACAGCAGAAACAAGAAATATACAGAAAAGTTTTAACATCAATGATAATCATATAGTCTCTAATATAGACAACTGGTATAAGATCACATGACTGGATCTAAAACGGTCCAGATTCATCTGACATCAGATTTGGCTCAACTTATTAATCATAAAGAAACTATTTTTAAACCTGCTTTTATTGGCATCAGGAAACATATATTTGCCAAAGCTTGAAAATCAATGTCTCTCTAATCTCTAGGTAACAAAGCTGCCCCCAGTCTGGCACAGTGTGCCAATAATTCCTTCTCTATAAAGGTAGTCTGTTGACCTGTGATATGTAAATAAACATTATACTTATTCAACTTTCAGTTACCCAGGTGTAACGAAAGATAAAACAAATATTATACCAGTATATAACTATAGAAATGGACAGCCAGATAAAATATTCAGATGATCAGAATCAAATTATCTTCCATTTGTAACACACCCTCTTATTATAGTTTCAACGTGTGTGGTCATGATTATCGACATTTATTAAGTGAGAAAGTTATTCTCAGAAATTCATTTTTTCTAGTTCGTGCACAAAGCCTCGCTGTCAAGCTGTCAGAAGCGTGCACAAATACTTTGACATTATATGATCCTAAAGGACAATGTGCAATTATACAAAGTTGTGTATCAAAATAGAACCTAACATTTAGCTAGTGTGACATTTTACCAGGTTACCATTATTATTAGCAAATTGAACCCTAATTTGAACCTTGACTTGTCCCAAAAGGATAAAAAAAAAGACAATAATAAAAGCTTCAAATGTCAAAACCTTGTTGAACACTGCACATTATACTGGATTCAGTTGGTATTATAGGATGAACCAACTCTAATCGTTTGATAGTTTATCAAGACATGAAACAAAAAAACATGTATGAACTACACAATAAAACCACAAAGCAGAAATTGTTTTTAAAGAAAAAATAACCTAGGACATGCCAGGTGTACTGTGAGGCAGAGTGCAAGATGTGTAAATTGTCGCGGAATGCTAAAATGATGAAGATCCACTAGCAGACCTCTGATTCATCCACAGAAGCCTAATCTACGAACACAGATCAGAATAGAAGGCAAGCTACAACCAAAGTCGTGTTTTGAAAGGAATTTCATGTACAGCATTCCAGTTGCGAGATTTGAGACTTCAAACGCAGATAATTTGATACAACCTTTGCATCATAGCAAAAATATTAATAAAAACTATTAACATATCCCCATCACAAACCTATCAGTTCTACTGAAACATTTGATATAGATGGGAAATATAATAATGTAAATAAGTATGTTTACGTTTCCAGCAGTTGCTGTACTATAATAAAATACATACTGTGGTACCTCGTTAGTCCAGACACTTGTGTATTAAGAAATATAGCTTTCACAACAACGTTTCCCCAATTAGTCGAAGGCAGGATTTGCCCAATTAGTGAGACAACCTATCTCAATTGATCAGATATCAGTTCTATCATAGACAACCAAAAGGCTAGTTTTTCACAGTAATTGAGTTTGGATCACCCCAACCCATCTGTATCTGTTGTTAGTTCTATGTAAATCTCAGCACAAATGTTCCTCTATATATTGCTGGTTAAAACATGATTAATTTATGGACAAAAAACATCTAAAATTATATAAATTCCGATTTATTTTCAAACTGCATGTGTTTCCAGAAAAAAAGGATCATTTGAAGACAAATGAATGTCTATATCAATACTGTAGTAGGACGAGGAATAATGATAAAGATTATATAGTGCCGTCACTGGGGCTCGAAACCGTGACCCTTGGCTCTCCAGTCCAATGCTCTACTGCTGAGCTAAAGGGAAATTCCCTACAACTGACGCTTGTAAGGCAACCTAATGCACATCTTTTACAAACCCAATATTTTGAAAATTTGAGTTAAAAACTTTTCATGATATGAAGTGGCCTGACATTTCCTACACAAGGCCCAAGACAGGGTGCTTTCACTGGCTGATCCAACACCAAACAAGCGTAAATATTCAATTCACCTGTGAACACACTTGGCACTTTGGACATGAAGCTCTTTACCGTCCGGACGGGCACACCTGTACTTTCATCCTGCATTCGGTCAACAATAGACTCCATCTGAAAAACAGGAAATGGTTAAATTACTAGACAAAAATCAGCATTACAACATGTGTAAGTATAACAACATAAATGTAGCACCATGTCGAATGTACAAGATATGAAATTTACGGGCCTAATAGAACTCAAATTGCAAAAATAACCATATTCGTCCCAGCCAGTCAAAGGCTATGGTGGACATCTTGAATCTCAAGATTGAAATGTTGACCATTTGACATAAAGCAATTATCCTGATGTACCACTCACAAGGAATAAACAAAGTCTGCCCAATGAAATTGAAGTTATAACCGTAATTGTCACAGCAAATGAAATGCCACAGAGGTTGTTCCAAATAAAATGTACCCCTTCCATATCAATCTAACAAAATATCAACTAATTCTAACCAACAAAAATAACTTGACGTTTCAGCCACTCAGCAGCCATCTTGAATTCTGGTTATTAAAAGTAATTCAACATATTTTCGGGAGTGATGCATGTTCCCCACGTATCACTCCGAAAATGTTTTATTGTTATTGGTCAGGTAAATAAGAAGGTCAGGTAAATAAGAAGGTCAGGTAAATAAGAAGTTGTGCTGACACAGCTTAAAATGGCAGTACAAAAAGGGCAACAACTCGGAGGAAAAAAGTTAACCTCAAAAATATGTACCAGATGTGCAGAAATTGACGTACCAAACTTTTTGTGATTTAATAGTTATAGAGGAGGTGTCCAGACAAATTTTCACCAAGACAGAATGACAGACGGATAGTAAACACCCCTAACATCATTGCGGGTGGTATAAAACAGTTTGTCCAGTTTCAACAGCAGCTAAACAGCAGCTAAACACAACAGTTTGTGTTTGAACTTTGGCTACATTGTTTGTGTCAATACTTGGTGACTAACAGAGTCAACATGCATTGTGTAACACAAAAAAGCAACATGGAAAAGTAATTACGTAAAATTTTGAACAGCAAAACTCAGCATCATTTTGCTTAGAACGATCCCATACAGATACACTACTTTTCATCTTCCCAGAAACAAACATGCAGGTTTTCATTGGACAGATGATCAAGGGACTTTTATGAGTCTTGTATGAATAATGTATAAAAATATGCATGTTTCCGGTGATGCTATAGACCCTAACTTTTTGTTCCTAATAAAGCCCATTATATTACCAGATGTTTTTTGCCAGTAATATTAACACAAATTTTATGTTCTATTGACTAGCTGTACAGACAGAGAGAAAATGTAACATTATATCAATCCCCTAACCATTAAAGCCAATAATTAGAACAGGCCTTTTTTGAACACAGGTTCTGATCCAGACATTGCAATGTTCACATAATTTTGAAAGGTTCACACACAATAAATTTACTCAAACAAAACTGATATCAAATTGGCCTCATACTGTACTGTACAGGTTAAGAGCCTGTAGGTGGTCTAGTAGCAGTGCTGACTGGGGATCAACTACTCAGTCATTAAGAGTCTGTAGGTGGTCTAGTAGCAGTGCTGACTGGGGATCAAACTACTCAGGGGCTTAGAGCCTGTAGGTGGTCTAGTAGCAGTGCTGCCTGGGGATCAACTCCTCAGTCGTTAAGAGTCTGTAGGTGGTTTAGTAGCAGTGCTGACTGGGGTTCAAACTACTCAGTGGCTTAGAGCCTGTAGGTGGTTTAGTAGCAGTGCTGACTGGGGATCAAACTACCCAGTGGCTTAGAGCCTGAAGGAGGTCTAGTAGCAGTGCTGACTGGGGATCAACTTACTCAGTGGCTTAGAGCCTGTAGGTGGTCTAGGAGCAGTGCTGACTGGGGATCAACCTACTCAGTGGCTAAGAGCCTGTAGGTGGTCTAGTAGCAGTGCTGACTGTGAATCAAACTACTCAGTGGCTTAGAGCCTGTAGGTGGTCTAGGAGCAGTGCTGACTGGGGATCAACCTACTCAGTGGCTTTGAGCCTGTAGGTGGTCTAGTAGCAGTGCTGACTGGAGATCAACCTACTCAGTGGCTTAGAGCATGTAGGTGTTCTAGTAGTAGTGCTGACTGGGGATCAACCTACTCAGTGGCTTTGAGCCTGTAGGTGGTCTAGTAGCAGTGCTGACTGTGAATCAAACTACTCAGTGGCTTAGAGCCTGTAGGTGGTCTAGGAGCAGTGCTGACTGGGGATCAACCTACTCAGCGGCTTAGAGCCTGTAGGTGGTCTAGTAGCAGTGTTGACTGGGGATCAACCTACTCAGTGGCTTAGAGCTTGTAGGTGGTCTAGTAGCAGTGCTGACTGGAGATCAACCTACTCAGTGGCTTAGAGCATGTAGGTGTTCTAGTAGTAGTGCTGACTGGGGATCAACCTACTCAGTGGCTTTGTGCCTGTAAGTGGTCTAGTAGCAGTGCTGGCTGGGGATCAACCTACTCAGTGGCTTAGAGCTTGTAGGTGGTCTAGTAGCAGTGCTGACTGGAGATCAACCTACTCAGTGGCTTAGAGCATGTAGGAGGTCTAGTAGCAGTGCTGACTGGGGATCAACTTACTCAGTGGCTTAGAGCCTGTAGGTGGTCTAGGAGCAGTGCTGACTGGGGATCAACTACTCAGTCATTAAGAGTCCGTAGGTGGTCTAGTAGCAGTGCTGACTGGGGTTCAAACTACTCAGTGGCTTAGAGCCTGTAGGTGGTATAGTAGCAGTGCTGACTGGGGATCAACCTACTCAGTGGCTTTGTGCCTGTAAGTGGTCTAGTAGCAGTGCTGGCTGGGGATCAACCTACTCAGTGGCTTAGAGCCAGTAGGTGGTCTAGTAGCAGTGCTGACTGGGGTTCAAACTACTCAGTGGCTTAGAGCCTGTAGGTGGTTTAGTAGCAGTGCTGACTGGGGTTCAAACTACTCAGTGGCTTAGAGCCTGTAGGTGGTTTAGTAGCAGTGCTGACTGGGGATCAAACTACTCAGGGGCTTAGAGCCTGTAGGTGGTCTAGTAGCAGTGCTGACTGCGGATCAACCTACTCAGTGGCTTAGAGCCTGTAAGTGGTCTAGTAGCAGTGCTGACTGGGGATCAAACTACCCAGTGGCTTAGAGCCTGAAGGAGGTCTAGTAGCAGTGCTGACTGGGGATCAACCTCCTCAGTGGCTTAGAGCCTGTAGGTGGTCTAGGAGCAGTGCTGACTGGGGATCAACCTACTCAGTGGCTTTGTGCCTGTAAGTGGTCTAGTAGCAGTGCTGGCTGGGGATCAACCTACTCAGTGGCTTAGAGCATGTAGGAGGTCTAGTAGCAGTGCTGACTGGGGATCAACCTACTCCGTGGCTTAGAGCCTGTAGGTGGTCTAGTAGCATTGCTGACTGGGGATCAACCTACTCAGTGGCTAAGAGCCTGTAGGTGGTCTAGTAGCAGTGCTGACTGGAGATCAACCTACTCAGTGGCTTAGAGCCTGTAGGTGGTCTAGTAGCAGTGCTGTGGATCACTTGTACTTATAACCAATAATGACACTCATCTCATTACAGCGCCACACCAATACAGGTTTATGGCTGATAAGAGTACTTTAATTCAAGCCCCCATTAATTTACCAATTTCCTCCCAATTTTCACACCATCTCTATATACGGGTCTGCTGCCTCTGCTGCCGATGTTAAACATGTACTTTGAGCAATGGCCTGGAACATTTTGTGGTAGTAATCTTATTACATGACTTGGAAGAGCAACATAAAATTGTACAGCCACTACAATCAATTTTGGGTACAAGGACAAATGTGAAAAATATCTTTTTTTTAAATGAGACTTTCACCCTTGTCCTTTTCTTATATTTAAAGGTAAAATTTCTAGGAAATATTGAAAAAATAAAGGTATAATTCTGAAAAACTTGATACAAAAGCAATGAACTTGCATTCTGCAAACAAAAAACTGAAACGCAACATCACTCCGAATATTTGAAATAATACAGAGAATAAAGATAATAGAGAGAATAGACAGAGAAAATATATAGGAAATATTATGCTTATTGCTTGCCTAGAACTTTGGCCTGTCTGTAATTTTAATAGCAAAGTATTCTACTTTGGAATCGTGCTGGTACTCCTGACTGACTGCAAGCCTCCTGACTGCATTATTTTCTTCAAATTTTGACAAATGATATTTTTCTAACATAACATTTAAATCCTTTAATCATGTACAATTAATGTAAACTTTGGTTGGGCCATACACTGTAAAGGGAGACAACCAGTGTGAAAACTTCATTGAAGATAACAGAGATTGTGGATTAGACAAGAGGGGTTTATGAATAAGGGAAAAATGGATTTCTAATGAAAGAGCCACAATAGTTAGCAATGAAGCTACCAAGCTCGACTCTAGTATGCGATGTCGCCTTGCAGTCGAATTTACATTACATGGGTGAGCAAGTAGCGACAAATTGCAAAATACCTCTTTTCAAAATATCTGCCATGAAATCAATGACACAATTAGGCATTTCAATCCCCTACAACAATTGGTTGGCTCCCATGTTGACAATTTAAAAGCAGAGCTAAACGAAAGTACCAATCAATCAATATCACACATGTGTTATTCATGGCTTCCCACACCCAAAGTCTTGTGGTGACAAAAATGGGGGCTTCCCACACCCAGGAACTGTAGTGGGGGAACAGGGAAGATTTTCACACCCAGGAGTTTTGCAGCTGAAACAGCGAGGGCTTCAACACCCAGAAGTTGAAATGATGAACCAGGGAAACTTTCCAAACCAACGAGTTATAAAGATGTTACAGGGGGGCTTCATAAACCTAAATATTTTAGTAGGGGATCAGGGAGGCATCATACACACAGAAGTTGTACAGGGAAAACAAGGAATCTTCCCACACCCAGCTGTTGCAGTTAGGGAACCCTGGAGAGAGTCCCTACCTTCAGGAGTTGTAGTTGAGAAACAAGTAACAGCAGAGTGTCCTTCATCAAAGAATTGTTGTGATTTATCAGGGATTGTGATTGGGAACATTAAATGGGGTTTCCAATTCTCAGGAGGGGGGACGGTGCATTTTTCAACCCTACTAGAGGTACTGGGAACTGTAGTTGATATA